AGAAAGGTAGAAAGAAGAAGTTTAGGCAAAAACAGCAATCAAATTCTGAACCAGTGAGAACAAACTTCCAAACAAATCAGTTTTTCCATGCCACATTTACTGAGAGGACGTCATGTGCCAGGCACCGTTCTCGGCACGTGGGCACCTCAAATAACCATAGGTAAAGATTCTTGGCTTGGATCTTCCACTGTTCCTTGAAGAGACAGAAAACAAACTGAAGAAGAATAAATATATAAATTATAAAATGTCTGAGATATTCCTTTAAGTTAGAAAGAAAACCAGGGAGTATATTAAAAAGGACGGTGAGAAGACAAGGCAGGTTGAACCTCAGTAGTAGTGGTGGTGAACTTCAGTAGAGCAGAACTACAAAGCCCCGCTCACCAAGGTCAAACATGGCTTTATACTTACTTCCATGTATCACCTAAAGAGGCATCACTTTTATGAAGGGAGTAATTCAATCACATGAGGAAAGAGACAAATCTACATTTATGGTGACAGGTTTAACACACATTTCTCAGTCTCACTAGGGAAGACGAATAAGAATACATAAAAAACACAGAAGATAGAAGCAACCTAAGTAATGTATGTGACCTAATGCACATGTGTAGATGCTTCATCAAATTTCACTCAGTTGTTTTCGAGTCCTCAGGGCACACTTACTAATACTGGTCTTATGTTTGTGCCAGACAAGTAGGGACTTCCCTGATTTGGTGAAGGAAACAGACATGCAGGTCCAGGAAGCACAGAGAGTCCCAGACAAGATGGATGCAAAGAGGCCCACTCCAAGACTCATCAGAATCAAAATGCCAAAGGGAAAAGATAAAGAGAGCATCTTAAAAGTAGCAAGAGAAAAGAAGCTAGTGACCCACAGGGGAGCTTCCCTAAGACTTTCAGCTGATTTCTCAAAAGGAACTTTGCAGGCTGGAAGGGACTGGCAAGAAACATTCAAAGTCATGCAAAGCACAGACCTACATCCAGATTGCTCTACTCGGCAAAGCTATCATTTAGAATGGAAGGGCGGATAAATATCTGCTCAGCTAAGAAGAAACTAAAGGACTTCATCATCACCAAACCATTATTACATGAAATATTAAAGGGAGTTATTTAAGAAAAAGGAGAACATCAAAACTATGAACAATAAAATGGCAAAAAACCCTTTTCTATCAAAAATTGATCTAAAAAACAAACTAAGCAAACAAGAAAAACAAAGACAGAATCATGGATACAGAGAGCATTTTGATGGTTGCCACATGGGAGGGGGATGTTGGGGAATGGGTGAAGAGGTGAGGGGATTGAGAAGTACAAATGGGTACTTACAGAACAGCCATGGGGGTATAGAGTGCAGTAGAGGAACTGGAGTATCCAAGGAGCTTATACATATGACCCATGGACATGAACAATGGTGGCCCGAGGATGAGGGGGTGCTGGGTGGAAGTGGGCAAAGTGGGAAAATTCAGAACAACTGTAATAGCATATTCATCAATAAAATAAAATGTGAAAAAAGAAAAAAGAACAGAATGTAGGAAGAATACTTACATGCCATTAATGAAAAGATAAATGACCCAATTTAAATTGGAAAATGATGGGAATAAGCATTTTTGACACATAACTTCTGCCTGTAGTGACAGCAGACAGCAGACTGAGTTTCCCATGTGTCTCCACCAGGGATGCCATCTCCACAACCAGACCCTGAGTCTGCTCCTCATGCCCGGCAGTCACCGCTGCCCACCCCCACCCTCTCCCCCCACCTCCCCACCTCCCCACCCCCTTCTGTGCTGTTCGGGGACATGCTCCCCAGTGTTCCTGATGTGAACACGTGAGGGGCTGAGACCCAGACTCAGAGCTGAGGTCTCAGATCCGGAGCAGGAGATGATGTTGATTTTCTGCAGCCTGGCCATTTCCTGATTCCAAGTCCCACTTTAGGAAGAGTTTTGGAAAATCAGCATGCTTTTTAATAGGAAGAAAGAACCTGAGAACAGTTGCTTTAGGCACTCTGTTTTTCTTATGTGTTTATAATTATAGGGGAGACTGCTCTTTTCAAGGCTGATGTAGGGAGTTCACCTCCCCAGAATAAGGTGACACCAGCCCTCATATGGAGCCGGGAGACACCCCGGACCGCAGCAGACCACCACAGATGGGAGCTGGCAGTTTAATGCACAAGGAGCATGCTAACAAGGCTGGTCTTGACTGGTCTCCAAGACAAATGTGTGGTGCACCCGCCAGGTCTGAAGAGTGTATATAGACCCCTAGCTGGGCTGAGTCACATGCACCACACAGCAGGTCTCAACAACACGTCACTGTCTCAAGGCCGAGTCCCTGAGGCAGCTCCTGGGTAGAGACAGTGTGAGCTGAATGCACATTCTGAGGACAAGGAAGGGCTGGGGTTTGGGGGGATGGGGAGCTGGGTCCAGCTTTCAGGTCAACTGGAGGTCACATCCTCCCCATGACCTCCCCAGAGTAACAGAACACAGTGGGTTCACCGCTCTGAGTGTGGGAGCCAAAGGGACACCAGCCTTGGTGGAAGTAACAGGTCTCCTTTCACGTGAGACAGTGGGGGACACAGGGGAATGATTTCCAAAGTTCCGCCTCTCCCAGGGCAGGCTCCGCCTTCACTCACACCCACCATCCTGGCAGTTCCAGGCTGATCCCTTCTTTGCAGCAGCTCACCCATCAGTCATGGCCCAGGTCAAGCTCCTCCCGTTTCAGCTCCTCTGCTCAAAACTGTGCAACAATTAAGTGTTTATGAAGAAACACCCAGGCTGAGACCCTTGTCCCATCTGTCACCCGTGCTCCACCCCTGCTGACCCCCCTCACAACTTCACATGCCCCCCTTCTTCTGCAGTGGGCCCCGAGAGGGCAGCAAGGGGCTTCATGAGGTCAGAGGTGGCTTTTACGGTGGCTGCTCTCTCAGATGCCACAGCGACACTGCAGTCCCGTGAGAGAGAAAACACAGGTGAGGACAAGGGGTCCCAAAATCAGGACATTTTACACCCAGAACCCCAGGACCCCAACCACTGACTTAGCAAGTCCCCCAGGCAGGGGATCGGATTCCTCAGGGTGTTGACTTCCATCTTCACGTGATTTAGTAAAGATGGTGAAGTAGCACACTCATCAGGTATGAACACAACGTTTTCTGCTTGGACAATGACAGAGAGTTCAGCTCTCGGGAGAAATGTTTCTGGTGTCAGCACCAGAGGGGATGTTTTACAAATACAACAATAAAGATCAGGGTGTGTCTGAAAGAGAACCCACTGTGGGTATTGCTGGGATTGAACAATCCCTCTAATGAGGTACTTGGGGGAGAGTCAAGTGCAGGGGGTTTTCTACAGGTGGTGGACACTGGGTATGCAAGTGACAAGGGACACTGCTGGTAACAGTGAGGAAATGACACCCCTAACCTAAGGGGGGTGAAGGAGAGCTGGAGCCCAGAAGGGCAGGTGGTAGAAGAGGTCTGACTCTTTGTCTTACTCTTGCAGCAGGTCAGAGATGACCTTGCAGGGAGGGAGGCAGGAGAACAAATACCCCGGCCTCACTTTCCTACCCCGAAGAGGCCTCCTGCTCAGACTTCCCACTGGCAGGAGCCCAGCACTACTCAGAGAGCCAGAGAGCCTGCTGACGTGGACAGACAGGACAGAGGCCTCCAGGTCAGGGCCCCTCTCACTCAGTGCTGTTCTCGCCACATGTTCACATCAGCACAGTGTCTGCAGACCAGCTGTAAGCAGGACGCACTTGGCAGGAGCTCCCCCAGGTAAGTGCAGCCAACTGCAAAGAGGAAGCCGATGTGGCACTGACCAGTGAGTGCACATGAGCACTTGCTCCGCCTCCATCCCAAAGAGTGAACTTAGGGTGTGAAACCCCCATCTCCTTCATGGGCTGCAGATAAATAAATCTACCCTGTGAGAGCCACTTCTCAGCTTTTTATTATTTTACTTATTTATTTTTAGAGAGAGAGGGGAAAAGAGAGAGAAAGAGGGGGAGAGAAGCACTTTAGTCCATGGCCTCTCATACACATCTGACCAGGGATGGAACCCACAACCCAGACCTGTGTCATGACCAGGAGTCACATTTGTGAGACAACAACCCCCCAACTGAGCCACGCCTGTGAGGGCCACCACGTCTCGTCCTTGAACAGAACACACCTGAGTGGCACAATCCTGAGACCAGTAACCATGTGACCCATGCAGGTCCGCCTCCTGAGGCACAGAGCTGGGGTGAGGGGGACAAAGTGTGGATCTGCAGAGACAAAGGAAAAGAACCGGCACAGAGTGTATTTTAAAGTTATGGTCAGGGACATTTCATGTTAGGATGGTCCCTTAAAGAGAAAAGAGAGGAAAACACTACGAGGATTTTTAGCACCTCCTGCATCTCCAAGGACCACAGAACTGTCTTGCTGGAGAGGCCTGCTCTTCACTGCTGACGGGCTCAGACATGTGGACGGAGAAAACGAGCACCACCAGATGGGCTGACACATGGCACACACAGGCCTTTCATTTGATTTTCCTAAATTCAGTTTTTTAATTCTGCACAATGTATTCTGGCCTGATTGTGCCCATTCAGTCACTCCATGCCTGGGTTGGCACCGTGGGGGTGGGGGAAGGTGCTGGGAGGATGCCCTGGGGAGCTGTTGCTGCACAACAGACCAGCCCAAAGCTTAGTAGTTTGAAACAGTTTCATTTATTTTTCTCATGAATCTACAAACTGGGCGGGATGTGGTGAGGATGGCCCAATCTTTGCTGTCTGCAGCTTCCCCTGAGGCGGCTCCAATGGCAGCTTGAGAGCCCACTGCCCAGTGGCCACACTTGCATGGCTGGCAGGGGGTCTCACTGGCAGATGGAGGAGCAGAGAAGGGACGGGGCTAGGATTCCAGTCCTCTTCCTGGGGCCTCTCCATGGGCAACGTGGGATTCCTCACTGCAGGGGGGCCACCTTCTGAGGGTGGGTACCCCAGAGAGCAAGGCAGCACTGTCCCTTTCTAACTTCAGAAGTCAGACCAGCCACTACTTACCAAAGTAGTTACAGAGTCCATAGAATTTCAAGGCATGCAACACAGTCCCCATAACTCAGCAGAAGGAGCAACAGTTGAGATGTCAAGAAAAACTGGTGGGATAGAAGAAATCACTACAGCGAAGTCTGGAATATATATTCTGGCACATTGACAAATCATACATAATTAAGAAGAAAAAATGCATTATTTCCAAAGCTCAGACCACAAGGGTGCAAGCAAATTCCTAATCCAATTAAAAATCACTGCAATTATATTTTTTTCACCTTCTTCCTTTGTAGTTTTACTTTGTTTATCACATTTTTCCTTTAGGGATATCATTTGTTCATTCATTTCTTTCTCCTTTATTTCTCCCCGGGCATATAGCTCTTTTATCTGTTTTTGTTTTTCTGATTGCTCAGCATGAATTTTCTCCACGGCCTCTTCCAGACGTTTTACCTTTTCCGCTGTGTACTCATAGATGGGATCCGAAAAGTGAGTCCCTCCATTCTCCTGCACGATTGCCTCGATCAGCTCTACCAGCTCCTGCAGTTGAGCTTCCTTCTCAGCCTCGTCTTCACTTCTGTTGTCGAAGGCACAGTAGCGATTCCCACTCTCCCTGATAATGGTTTTGAAGCGTTCATCTGCACCTCTTACAAAGCTACTCACCTCCTGACCTTTGTCCAGTAGATCTTTGCAAGTGAACAAGATCATCATGTGCTTAGTGGTGCGCTTCCCAAAGATGGCCTTGACCAATTCCATCGTGCTGTACTCTTCCTCTGTGACGTGGCCCAGCTGTAAGACCAGGATGATGGCGTGAGGCCCGGGGCTGGAGTGGAGGACACACTTGGCAATTTCCTGACAGGTGAAGTGCAGTGTCTTCTTGGTGTCAAAGAGCCCTGGGGTGTCCACCACCACAAGGTTCCTCCCCTTCCAGGCCCTCGATGCTGTCTGACAGCTCTTGGTAACAGCACTGCCAGCCACTTTAGAATCAAATACTCTTTTCCCCAGGATGGTGTTTGCTGTAGCACTTTTTCCATTTCCAGTTCTTCCCACCAGAACGATCCGCAGAGTGTTGTCCTGAAGGCCGGCCATGCTGGTTCAAGAGGCTCTGGGTGCAGGTTCCCGCAAGACCCTGAGGAGGGGAAGGAGAGGGGGAAGAGTCAGCTTAGGCAAGTGAGGACCATTCCCAGCCCTCACTTCCTCCCCGAAAATTTGTACTAGTCAGTTATTCTTACTGATCCCAGTGACAACAGAGAGATGGCAAAGGTCAACTACTGGGGAAGAAACAACAGAGTTTCCCCACAGAAGAGCACCGGGGCCAGGCCCCTCCCAGGGGAGCGCACCTACACCTCACAGCTCTGCTCTCTCAGTGCTCCCTGAGCTGTCCCCGACCACACACAAAGGAAGGGAAAGTTTCAGTCCTTTCTGTGAATAAAATATAATATTGATCCAAAAGGCTAACCAAGATTTCACCAACAGATAAAGCTGCAGATGTGTCTCATTTGGAAATAGTAATACAAAAATACTAAATTATTAAACACTAAAGATAAGTATACACCATGATTAAGTGGGATTTATTTCAGAAATACTAGGATGGTTCAATATGGAAAAAAACTTGATCATTACAACACATCCCATTAATAGATGAAGAAGAAAACTACCCAGATGCAGAAAAGACATTTGACCCAATTCAACACTGACTCATGTTTAAAACATTTCATAAAAATGCAATTCATAGATATTTCTCTAAAGTAAAAATAATCTTTTGTAAAGGTCATCAAACAGAAAATTCAGAAATAGACCAAATTATTCATACTGTATCCATTTACATTCCATTTAATTACAGTGCTACCACAGATTAAACGAGGCTGCATCTCACATCGACAGGGAGAGAGGTGGGCAACAGAGCGACTCTGGGCTCACGGTGACCACACAGGAGTGAGGGAACTGCCTCCACTGCCTCACGCCACTCAGGTTCAGTTACATTCCACGTAATTTACATGGAAAAGCGAACCCACGGACATAAGAGAAACAACATGGACAGGTTCTTTGTAACCTGGGGGCAGAGAAAATATTTCTAAGATTTGACACAGAGTAAGGAAAAGGACTAATAAGTTTGATAACAAAAAACTCTCACAGATAATGTGAGACAAGAAACACCAGAGACAAATTAAAGCAAAAATGTCAAACTAAGGAAAAAACAGTTTCCAACTTACATCAAGGGGGTGAATTTCCCTGTTATACAAAGAACAGGGAAAAGCACAGAAACTAAAGTTCAACACCTTGACAGAAAGTGGAGTAAGAGATGGGAATAAACATTCAGAGAAAATTTAAATGTGCCTTGAATATATCTCAAAATATTAATATATACTCACAATAGACAAAAATAATTCAAATCCAAAAAGTAAAATAAATAAATAAAATAATTTTAAATGACACCTCTATTTCTGAGGTGAGATGCTGTTTGTCCCCTCCAGGTCTGGCAGAACTGCAGACTGAGCTGAGAATCAGCCGGAGTGGGCAGGGGGAGCAGGTCCTCCCTGCACGGCTGGGGAGGAGGGAACCACAGTCCAAGCCTGCAGAGCAGAAGCCAGCAATATCTTGGAGAGTCCACGTGCATTTTCCCTGTGGTTACCAATCCCCCATTTCAGCTTTTATCCCTGAACTACACTGACCAAAATTACAGCAAAAATCATGCATAAAGCTATTGCATCATGATTTGCAACACCAAAAAACAAAAATCTGTCCAATGGCCACCAGTAGACAACAGGTTGAATGAACTAAGGTGTGTTCACACTGGGGAGGACTGACCGGCCGTGAAAAGGACTGAGAAGTGTCTCCCTGCACCAGAGCGGGGAGACCGCCAGGGTGTCTACCACCAGAGAAAGGAAATAATGTGGAGTTTCACCTACCATCTCTCCAGTAAGGGGGGATGTGAACATCATCTATGAACTGTAACAGGTACACTATTCACATATATGAAAAGGCACCAGCAGGATAATCTGAAAACTAAACCGACACAGAAGTTCCTTGTGTGGGGATGGGAGAGACAGGGTGGGGGGACAGGGGCAGGGGCTCGAAGTCGGGTGTCCTGGGTGCACATAGATTCCATAGGTTTGATCTTGAAACCAGGAAGGTAGTTTACCTAACTACACACCAAAAATTATACTTTAAAATACTAATGTCAAAAGCAAATGAAACAAACAAATCTAAAGGTATTTTGTGAGGTGGATGAACTGCATAAGGAACTGGTCCAAGAGACTTAGAAATGCAGTTATTTCATTGTTCATCTCCAGTAAGTTTTATCATACAAAAAAGCAAAAACCCAAATCACCAAAAATGCAAAAACCTGAAAAAAAGATCTCTAATTCTTCTAAAAAATCCTTATCTTAGTTGCTTGTGTATGTGTGGTGTGAAGCCCATTGGAAAGGCACAGAGACAGGAATGAGCCCAGTGACAATGGGCCCCCTCAGAGCCCAGCTCTGGCTTTCAGAGGCTTTCCCCACCACAGGTCAGGGCTCTGAGGAGAAAGCACCGATTCCAGGGCCAGGCAGGACGCATGTGCATGGGGCCCACACACCCTCGTCAGCCAGAGAACCCAGGTGTGCTGACCACTCACTAGTGAGGGCCATTACAGCAGAATCCAGCTGGACCTGGATGGGACAGTTTGAGCATCGATAATAATTCCAGTGAATGGAAAGGCATCAAACATGTTGAAATCCAAGGGGTCATAGCAATGCCTTCTTAAACGTGGCCCCTCTCTCCCTCAGGCATCTGCTAGAAAGCATCTCACTGCTCTGCACGTGGACACACAAAGGGGAAGAGTCAGGCGTTCATCTGTGTCTCTCACACACCTGCTGCTCGTGGAGATGAGAGAGAGCTTGAGGGGAGCGTTCTTTTCACAGGATTATTCCACCCAATACAGGAGGAAGGGATGACAGCATTTCAGTGTCATCGCTTGTGACCCTTCATGAGACTAAGGCAGCCATTAGTGTCAGTTAATGTCACAGACAGACTGACAACCAGACGTCATGTGCCTTCTGACGGGAGTTCACTGCTGCACCTGTGAAGTGTTCCCCCCAAAATCAGTCCACCTTGAACCTGACCAAGCCTCTCCTTAGACAGAAACTCACACAGACGCTGGAACGGGAGGAGCAGGTGAGCTGACACCTTTGATGGAACCAACAGAACACACACTGCCCGACTCTACTGGACAAGAGACCCCCCTTTCTTACCCAGAGAAATCTCCCAGAAAGCAACAGGGAAGGTGGAAACTGACATATTAAATTACATTTAAGAGAATATGAAACAATTGTGATTTATGGGTCTTATTTGGATCCAACTTCAAACAACTTTGAAAATTATGAGAAAATCAGCAAAATCTGAATGCAGGTGGTAACAGTTTTTTAAAAATTCTAGTTGCTGCCCTGGCTGGTATGGCTCAGTGGATTGAGCACCTGCCTGGGAACCAAAGAGTCGCTGGTTTGATTCCCAGTCAGGGCACATAACCTAGGTGGTAGGCCAGGTCCCCAGTAGGGCATGTGAGAGGCAACCACACATTGATGATTCTCTCCCTGTCTCTCCCTCCCTTCCCCTCTCTTTCTCTCCCTCCCTTCCCCTCTCTTTAAAAATAAATAAAATCTTTTTAAAAATGCACTTTCTTTTTAAAAATTGTAGTTGCTTTTTGAAGTCTGAGGATGGCAACATTTTTCAGTGGTTCCAAATATTCACTGGTAAACAGAAGCAGCGTCTGACACCTGCTTCCAAACACTGTGGGGCAGGGAGGGACTGGCGAGTCTACAGGTGAAACCAGACTGGCATCTGAGGGTGCCTGTTGAAGCTTGGTCCAGGTCGAAGTTCCCTTTACTCTTCCCTTTATCAGGAAACAGTCAAAACTTCCACAACTAAAAATTTAGTCTGGGTGTAGGATCACCACTACTGAGTGCTCTATAGCAAGCACCCAGATAAATATTTTTGCATTATCTCATTTACTCCCCAAAAGATCTGGCAAGGAAACTCATTTTATTATTTTGTCTTTTTTTATCTTCATCCGAGGATATGGTCATTGATTTTAGAGAGAAAAGAGGGGACAAAGAGAAATGTCCATGTGAGAGAGAAACATTGATTGGTTGCATCTGGCCCACACCCCACTTGGGGACTGAATCCACAACCTACGTATGTGCCCTGACCGGGATCGAACCCATAACCTTCTGGGGCACAGGAAGACACTTCAAACAACTGAGCCACCTGCCTGGGACTGTTATGCTCACTTTTAAAATAAGGACATGATGTGGCTCAAAAATGCTGAGACACTTGCTCAAGGTCACGGTGCTCACGGGTAATGGGCAGCACATGGGTCCATTTGAAAGTCCCTCTGACTCCCACTTTCCCCTGACCAGGGCCCACAGTGGCCTCTGCCTGACTCCCTCTTGGCCTCACCTCTAAAATCTCACCAGTCAAGCTGGACAGGAAGCGGGCAGGGACAGGCATCCCCTCTCTCCCAGAACCCAGAAGTGAAGGAACGCCGGCCTGTGGGGGGAGTGGGGTTTCTCTGCACTGCTCCCACATGACAGCCCTCCTGCACTGCCCTGGGATCCTCCTCACCGCCCATGTCACACGGTGGGGCCCCAGCTTCTCTCTGCCGAGTGATGGACCCTGTGTCCTAGATTCCTCTGCTGCCAGGGATGAGGGCCACCCCTGGAGTGTCTCCACACGGCCTGAGATCCTGATCTTGGCAGTGGACAGAGGCACTTGGACAGCCTGGTCTCTACATGGCCGTCAGCCCTGACCACCTGCCCTGGGGACACCAGTTTCCCATCAAGGGACGAGGAAGATTCAGCAGCAGCATCAGTGTCTGCTGCACCAGAAAACGCAGGAAGCACCCCTGTCAGCACACTCGTGTCCTGTCAATATGAGACGCAGGACATTGTGCCAATACACAGCCCCTACTGTCCTCCCCTTCCTACCTCCCACCACTACCCTGTGTCAGCACACTTGTCCCACTGTGAGGCTGGCACAGCACCTGGTGCCTCCTCAGACTAGAACCACCCCCTGCACCTGCCCTGGCCCCACTGCCCTCCCAGCCCTATGGCTCAGTTGGGTCTCAGCCAGGCTCACCTTCCCTTCAACCCGCTGAGGAGTTCCTGGGTTTTCTCCAACGAAGCTCTTTCAGCTGCTGCTTGTGCTTTAACTGTGAGGAGAGAGTTCACACTTTTAAAGGCTCTGAGCCAGGAAGCTGAGGTTGGGTGGAGCCAGTGGAGGACCTGTTTGCCTTTAAAGAGGCAGAAACACGTGATCCCATAATTTGGTGGTGCTATCAGTTTTGCCAAAGTTCCAAACCTTGGGGTCGATGTGTCCACTCCTGCACCAAAATTTCCAAAGCTATGTTCAGGATGTTGGGATGTTGGCAGTGGATCCCAAAGGCCCTTATTAAATGACCCAAGTCTTGCCCAGAAAGTCCAGTACAGCATCTGGTCATCTTTGCTGTGCAGTGGGCAAAGTACGGGTGATTCTGGAAAGAAGGAAGTTGGACACGTGACTTGAGGGTGCCCTTGGGTGCTGGTGTTGATTGTGTGATGTGGGCATTTGAGTCCCAGTCTTTCAGGAGGGTCTCAGTTCCTCATTCAGAAAATTACAGGACTCAGGTGCAGAGCCTAAAGGGGGTCTACACCACTGGGAGCCACAGGGGAAGAGAGGAAGGGGGTTTGGGGGAAAAGTCTCTGTGACCACACAGCCCCATCTGGTGCTTTTCATATGGTCCTTGCCAGCTTGAGACGTGCCCCAGGGATCTGACAGGTGCAGATGCTCCCAGGGAGCAGACGCAATTTCCCCTCCCAACCTTTCTGCCTCCCCCCACCCCCAGGCCCAGACGGAAGCACCTGTGTGAGATTTCACCCAGCAGACAGATGCCACAGGCTCTGGAACCATGGTTCCAGTGAGAAGAGGTCTGTCAAAGCTCTCACGGTGGACACGATGTTCTCAGTCATCTGCTGCATCACCATAACAACATTTCTTCTTATTATTTATTTTGGCTCAACTAGATTGAGAAATTTTGATCCAGTCAACTCTTAAGCTTTTGGGCAGGTACTAAGAGGACCATTTGTGGCAGGAAGTAAGGGACAATTGGATGGCTGCCCATGGAGGGAAGCAGCAAGATTTGGAAATGAGGGTGTTCATGACATGCCATTGGTCCAGAGCATTGGACCAATTATTGGTGCTAATGACTCAGGGTCACCATGAAGATCCCAGGTAACAGTTTCCTGACTTTCCAACAGTGACACAGAGCAGGACCAGCTTTGAAATTCACAAGTGTCTGACTACACAAAGCAAAAGCTCATACCCTCTGTTCAAAACATCAGAAGATTTCAGGATGCCATTGACAGAGCACTGACCCACGTGAGGGGCCCCTCTCAGCACAGGGCCCTGAGCAGCCCCACAGGTCACTGCCCAGGGGGCTGACCCTGACCCTGCTGCATGGGTGTGACTCAGCAGCACAGCCAGGACCTCATCTCCTGCTCAAACTGTCCCCCCCCACCATGGCCCAGTCTCAGGTCACTCTGCACAGTCCTTGTCTGAACCCTGTCCTGCCAGAAGCTGCCTTGTATGTATTCCTGGTGAGCTCCTTGCTTCAGCAGGTATGACACTCAGGTGCACAGTTCAGTTCCCCAAAGAGAAGAGGGAAGAGGTTGAGAGAATCCACAGATGCTACAGTGATGGGATACAGGGTCTTGGATGGGAAACAGCGTTGAGGCCATTGGCTGCAGAGGAGCCCCTTACAACATGGCAATCCCCACCATAACCCTGACACAGGGGAGACAGCATCTAGGAGACTGGGACAGAAGGAGGGTCGTCTCACCTCTCTCCTGACTGTTCACGTGGCCAGGCTCCTCATCACGAGGGGCTCCTGTCCACTTCCAGCTCTGCCGTGAGCCACCTGTCCCACTGCTGCTGGTCCCCACCTGCGACTCCTGAAGCTGCTCCTCCCACTCCCCAGATGCTGCTCCTTCCACACCCGTCAGAAGCAAGGACATGAATTTTGGGGAAAGTCACAGCTTCCTTCTGCACAGTTGCCTTTATTCTTTTTCCCCTTTTTATTATTTACATCATATGCACACACAAGTAGGTGTATATGAATTTTTCAAAAGTTGGGTTATGAAAAAACATTTCTTCACATTTTATCAGGGTCCACCTTGTGGAACTCAGGACATTTTCTGCTGCTGTGATCTAGATGAATTCAAAGCTCAAACCTACTACAGCATCACAGAAATAACAACAGGAGGTGAAAGGACCAGTCCCTCACGCTGTCCTGACTCCCCCACGAATGAACAGTCAGCCTTGGTGTGTGGGTTCCGTATTGCTGCCACAACAAAGCACTGATAACCTAGTGGCCCAGGACAAAATGAATACATTCTCTTACAGCTTTGGAGGGCAGGAGCCTCAAATCAGTCTCACAGAGATAAAATGAAGGTGTCATCAGGGCTGGTCTCTCTGGAGGCTCCAGGGGAGAATCCCTCTCACCTCTCCCCCTTCTAACAGCTGCCAGAGTTCCTTGGCTTGTGACCACGTCACTCCAGTCTGGGCTCCCGTCACCACATGGCTTCTTCCTCCTTAGATCGTCCTGCCTCCTCCTCTCAGGGCCTTTGTGGTTCCGTGTGGGACCCACTCAGAGAGCCCAGGACAATCTCCCCGTCACCCCATCATGAATGATCCTCATCTGCAAAGACCCTTTAGCAATAAGGTGACATTCACAGTCTCTGAGGATGGGACACGGCTTCCCTCAGGGAGCAGAAGTTAACCTCTCTTAGCTCCCATTCCCGATGGTAAAATGAGGAATGTACGACAGAGCACACTGACAGCCATTTGAAGTAGTGGTAGAGCTGAGTGGGTGTTGGGGTGGATGGATTGAACCAAAAATAAAAAATAAGCAAAAACTCATGGACACAGACAGTGTGGTGATTCCCAGGGGAGAGGGCAGGGGGATGTGGAGGCAGGTATAGGGGGGATAAAGGGTGATGGATGGAGACCTGACTTGGGGTGGTGATCACACAATACAGAGTACAGATGATATGTTGTAGAATTGTGTACCTGATCCCTGTGTCTTTGTGGTTCCCAGTGCCACACACAATAAAGTCAATAAAGGGGACGGAAAAAATAACAAAATGTAGAACATGGAGGTTTTCCTTCATTGAGTTGGCATTGGTTCCAGGAAGTGGGTGCTGCTGTAAACAATACCTCCCGTGTGGCAGTGGCTGTGGACTTGGGGATGGACAGGCACTGGGGGAACTCCAGGGCACATGGGAGCAGAGGTGGAGGTGGCCTTGGAGGGACTAAGCTGGGAATTTGAATGTTAAAGGTGAGATCTCAGATCAGAGTGAGGACCCTGTCATTGGACCCCTGAAGAAAGGGGGAGGGGTTCCAGAGTTGGGGAGGGGGAGAGTCAGGGAGTCCTGTCTGCTGCTGGGTGGAAGGAAGGGTTTGTAAGTGATGGACTGGAGTGTTCAGCTGAGGGGTGTCCAAGCTCAGCATGGGAGTGGGGGTGCAGCCTGGTTTCTCCTTGTCAGAGGTGGGAAGGCAAGAGGTCCCGATCGATGCAGCCTCCAGCCAAGGACATCCCAGGGACTGCCAGCTGCCACGAGAAGCTGGGCACCAGCCAGGAAGGACCCTCTGCAGAGCCTTTCAGAGTGAATAGGGGCTCAGGCCAACCCTTTTCAGATGCATGGACTCCTAGGACTATGGGACCAGAACTTTCTGTGGCTTTCAGCGACACAGTGTGTGGGACAGTGTTTCAGCCACCCTCGGAATCTCGGAAGGAGCCTTCCTCCTTTCCTCCCCATCTCTCCTGCCTCCTACTGTTCCTTCCTCAGCACAACTAGGGACCCCCTCTCTGTGTGAGTGTGCTGTGACTCAAGGGTGTCCCTGCCAGTGGCACCCACACACCTGGACCAAGAGGACCCAGGGGCCTGGGGACCAGGAAATGCTGGCTTTCTCGGAAAGGCCTTGAACTCTGCCTGACCTGTGCTCTGGCAAGCTCCCTACCCAGAGCGCTGACACATCCTCTTTACTCGTTTCACTTTCTGATCTCAGGCCTCCTACAAAGAGGTCTGTGGTCATCCTCAAGTTATAGAACTTGAAAACAAAACCAAAAATAGCTTTGTTTTGAGAGCGAAAGAGGAAGTGAGGGGCTCCTGAACCCTTAAGTGCACGGGCCCTCAGCCAGGCTGCTGTGGGCTCAGCAGGTCCTGAGACCCCCTCTGCATGACAGCAGCTCCAGGCCCACCAGCTGGAAGGAGGAGTCGGACAAAATCCCACAGACACGGACCACAGTGGGGTGCTCACCAGGGGGAAGAGGGGGCGGAATGGTAAAGGGTAAAGGGGGTCAAATGTGTGGTGACAGAAGGAGAGCTGACTGTGGGTGGTGGGCACACAGTGCAATACACAGATGATGTGTCAGAATCGTACACTGGAAATCTGTACAATGTTATTAAACAATGTCACCCCCAATAAGCTTAATTTTATAGATCGAATAAAGAGATTTTATCTAAAACATAAAGGAGGGCACTATCCCTTACAAAACAAGACAACACGAGCTTTCATGCATTGAAACACTCAGGAGACACCAGCCTCAGCTGACAGCACAGGATGACCAAAGTGTCTGACAATGTGTCCCCTCCCTTAGCCCAGTGACACTGCTTTGTTCCCTGGGCTTCAGAGCCACCTGTCCTATGAGCACATCAGCGCAGGTGTCTGCCATTAACCCGTGAACTGCAGTCAGGAGGGGTGAGTGGCTCTGACCAGCCACTCTCAGGATCTGAGGCTTTGGGCACAGCCACTCCCCTCTGAGCCCAGGTGTCTTTACAGATGGAAGACAGAGGGTGTCAGATCACTAAGTCCCATGCCTCCCAGGGAGTGACATCACATGACACTGTCTGGTCCCTGCCCCATGAGGACAAGGGCCCAGACCCTCCCAGGGGTAGGAATCCTGAGCCCTGGCCCCACACCCTCACTTCTTCTCAGATGGCGGTTGGTTGTAGTGATAAACCTGAGACAACAAACAGGGTCCTCCAAGGATCCCACGTGGAGGGACCCGTCCTGGGACTCTTGGCCTCAGGGCTCTGGTGTGAGGGAGGAATATCACAAGGGGCCTCCTTCTCCCATGCTTTGAGTCCCCAGGGTCATCAGAGGGAGGGAGAGTTACAGAC